GAGCAGAGGAGAAGATTTTCAAAGAATTCATGTATTTTCACTATATATAATCAATAGAGCCCCGCCCTAACACCAGAACCCCTGACCCTGGGGCCATAAAATTCACAATTTTGGTAGAGGCACTCTTGCTCATCATAACTATGTACTTAGTTGGTTTATTTAATACCCAGGAGCAGAGAAGAAGATTTTCAAAGAAATAATGCATTTTCACTACCTACTTATTTAGCCCCGCCCTAGCACTAGAACCCCTGACCCCAGGGCCATGAATTTCACAATTTTGGTAGAGGACTCATTGCTGATTACAATCATGCAAACAGTTTGACTGCTTGATGTCCAGGAGTAAAGAAGAAGATTTTTAAAGATTGCATTAATTTTAGTGGTTTTGGCCCCACCCCTCAGGCCCCAGGGGGGCAGGGATCATGAAATTCACAATTTTTGTTCCCCTTCACCCATAGATGCTTTGTGCCAAATTTGGTTGAAATTGGTTCAGTGGTTGCAGAGTAGAAGCTGAAAATGTTCAAATGTTAACGCACGACGGACGACGACGGACAAAAACAGATAGCAATAGGTCACCTGAGTTTACTCAGGTGACCTAAAAAATATGACTTGTTTGTTTCCGCTTTCAGGCTGAAAAAATATAGGGTAGGTAGGTCCGCAATTTTTTTTTTGAAAAAAAATTTTTTTTGCTTCTTTAATCAAAAATTAAAAACATGTACAGAAGTAACATTAATGACAAATGAAATGGTGTTTTTAAGCATTTCTGCGACTTAAATTGATAAGGCTTAAAAAAAAAAATGTTTGTTTCCTGTAACATTCCCAAAAAATTAAGGGTCGGTAGGTCGGAATTTTTTTTTTTTGTTTTTTGTTTTGCTTATGAATGGTCAAACATCCCCGGACTCAATATACCAGGTGTAGGGCTGTGCAATATTACCGGTATAGCGGTATATTGCGGTATTATCCACCACGATAATATATCGCGATATGAAAATCAGATACCGGTATTTCACGATATTTATAAAAATATATAAAAACCTCCTTTATTGTAGAAACTGCTGAAATAATACTTGTAACTTCAACAGGCCTATTCAATCTAGTTAGAAAAATACATATACTTCGTCAGCTTTCAAAGGCAGATAGAGAGAAAGAGAGAGAGGAAGCTTTTCATTCAGTAACTGTCGCAATTTTAAATATCTTACTTTAAAATAAAATTAATAATTAATAAAAAGACCTTTAAATAAAATTATCAAGAAAGAAAATTTATAAAACATTTCTACAGGGTGTATAGTGTATACCATGTGTTCTGTGGTTCTCAAAATCTCATGGAATCTACACGATCGACGATGAATGTTAAGTTCAAGATACATATTACAAATAAATGGCCATCCATGTTTTCACTTGATACAGTGATGCTTTTATTATTTTTTAACAACTGCCATTTTAAACACCTTCATGCTTTACCAGGAGCATGTATATTCAAACAATAGAATTAGGCCAATGCAGTTCCTGATCGTATGTCATAATGTGAAATTAGGTCGGGTCAGACTAAAACACCAAACGCCCGAAAATAGGTCACAATTTTTTTCTGGCTTTAATTTTATTCTGTGACCACGTAAAATTTCCATATAGTATGTTTTAATCATTAAGTTACATTTTATGCTATTTCAATAACCCCCCCCCCCAAAAAAAAAAAACGTATAAAGAATATACTATATGCATTAGCTTTTTTTCAATTTGAAAGTACATCAAATGAGTACATTTTGTTTTACTATTTTACCTGGTATTTGATTAAAAATGATTATGATTATGTGTGCGATTAATGTCATATCCCCCGCCCCCTTTAAAATTTATAAATAAATTCAAATAGTCTTTGAACTTACCGCATTTTAAACTTTCTGCACAAATTTATTAATGATAATTAATCTACAATATATCGCAATATATTGCAATTTTACCTGGTATTTGATTAAAAATGATTATGATTATGTGTGCGATTAATGTCATATCCCCCGCCCCCTTTAAAATTTATAAATAAATTCAAATAGTCTTTGAACTTACCGCATTTTAAACTTTCTGCACAAATTTATTAATGATAATTAATCTACAATATATCGCAATATATTGCAATATTCATCGTAAAATATTGCAATATATTGCAATATGGTTTTCACTCGCAATACCCAGCTCTAACCAGGTGTCATATTTACAGTGGACACTCAACATGGCATCCAAAATGGCTGCCAAGCGGCAGAAAACGAACTTCAGAAAGTTGTAGGGGGAAATTGTTGTTATAATAATGATTACTCTTTATAACTAAGGTAAATGTAAACTAGGTTGACATATTTTATGTCTTAAGTTAAGCTACAAGCTAATTTTCTATTTTTAATAAATGGAATCAGCTGATTGATCAAACGAAGTTTTGCCATTTGTCAGAAAAAAAAAATCCACCCGGGGGTAATTTGAATGGGTCGGTCGGGTTACAGGAAACAAACATATTTTTTTTTAGGCCTAATAGAAAGGTCACCCAAACTTCTTTCTGTCTTGAAAAACTTGCAAAGTTGGGAGACTACAGTACCCTGGGTGAAATCTTGCACACCATGGGACAAAAGCATTAAAAAATATTTAGGGTCGGCACTATAAATTAGGGTCGGTCGGGAAAGCAGAAACAAACGTATTTTTTTTCTAGGCCTTAAATTAAAATGAAATGAATAAAATAGAGGAATTTTATCAACCTTTTGTAGGAAGTATATGTATGTCTTAAGCTGTACTTAATGCCATACAAAAAGGATATTCTTGAGATTTGTTGGATAAGTGTGTTTCTACTAGTTTTGTCACCTGGATGCAGAACTGCAGCTCTCTGCTTTAGAAAATTCAGACATAGCAGTTACAGATCCTAGTGCTCTACGTAAAATCCTTTGATTTACGGTTATTTTAAAAGTGGGTGAAAATATCAAATACAAGTAATGACCCAAATAAAAAAGCACAGGTGTAAACCAAGGGTTTTTACAATGCTTGGATCTGTAGCTCTCTGCTTTATCTGTTCAAATTTTCTCAAGAAGAGAGCCTCAGTTCTGCAGCTGGCCTGAATGGTGCGAACATTTGCTTTAGAGTTGGGATGTAAGGAGTTGATCCCTATGTTGTGGGTTGGAATCCCACTGTGGGAAAACCTTAGAATGAAACTGTAAAATCAAGTTCAGTATTGCAGTACGTGTTGGCCAGAAAAAGATCCTTCACTGCTCAGCAGCATTAGTGCTGAGTATAGGTCTATAATTTGAAGCCTTCCACTCACTGGTAAGTAGAGGTATCTCAATAGGAGTGAAAATTCTTGAAAGGATGTTAAATTGATATAACCAAGAAATAATCAGAATTTGTATAGATGAATAGAAAATAACAAGGGCAAATTATAAGTGAAAAGTCATCAACAGTTTGTGGCATTTCAGAAATATGCTCTCGTCAAAATCTTAATAGATTCAGAGAGTTGGGTTTAGATTTGTTGTTACATCATAAATACCACAAAATTTCAAAATTTACACTTCCTACATCTGATAATCATTTTTCTAACTTTGCAATCAGTTTCATAAGTTAAGGCATTTTGATTTTCCAAGTTTGTCAAACCTTTTTTCACAATGACCATGGCCAATACACTGAGATTGGAGTCCACAATGCATCCCCTGACAGACTTCCTGCGGCGTTCTCCGTCACGCCTGGGGCGGAAGCAGGAGTGTCCCTTGCTCAGAAGGAGTCTCACTCTAACATTGGTGAGAATTCCCTGTTTCATGGGAAATCCTTGTTTGTCGTTTCCTCCAGCAATTCTCAGGACATACCCCTGCAAACCACGCAAGACACAGTTAATAAATCCAACTTGTTATTTTTTTTTAAATCAGCATTAGACTTCAAACCTAAATGAAATATCAATTTACAGATCAATCTTATTAAAGCAGTAATTTCACAAACTTTGAATTTAGAATTGATTTGTTCATTTCTGAACCAACCTTCCACTCATCACCAAGACTGTCAGCTGGCACTTCAGAAGCCATTCTCTTTTCATAGAAAGGTCGCAATTTCTTTTCATCATCAACTTCGATGAGTTTTTGACAGCCAGTGGCTGGATATGAGATGTTGAGCTAAAACGAGCAAAGACAACAATAATTTACAGCCCAACTCGCATCAGTGAGAGAAAGGGCATCACTCACACACTTACATACAGTAAATCTACAAGGCTCAAACTGGACTTGTTATAAACAATTCTTCATTATTTTTCATAGATCCATCAATCCTTCCGATTTCTTTGGTGTTACCAAGTACTGGCAATTATGACAGTGACTGTGTCATTAAAAACTTGAGTAAATAATGTTTTCATCTTTCATTAACGCTGCCAAAGTCTAACTGTGGTATTTATTCATTTGTCTGTGTAGTAGTGCAAACAACTGCCCAATGGAACGTTAAAATCACAGTAAACATGTGGGGCTGCAGTGATAGAATCTACCAACATCGAAGATTTTGGCCTGCACAACGACTCAATATGGCAATTACTTATAGCACGATTTATTGAAATATCTCACAGATGTAATTATTTGATGTATTGTGGGCCGATAGAGACTTATATTGCAATTTTATCTACCTTCATGTCTGATCTTTGCGATCAGTTCGCCTCAACCGGAAGAAAAGGAAGTTATCGTCCTTGTTTGACAGGTCCTTTACTCTCCAAAAAATTAAATTGCGAACATTTTCAACATACTGCAATTTTTTTTTTCAAATTATTTTTAATGATTTTCATTTTGTTTTCAATTTGATAAATTCCAAAAATTTTATCTAAAAAATTGTTCAACAATAGTTGTGTTTGTTTCGAGACTATAATGGAGCGCGGGAAGTGTCAACACGTTTCAGAATTTCCTCTAGTTTAAATTTACACCTACCTAAAATCTTCCGAATAATTCATTACTGTTTCATTTTAACCATATTTTACTCAGAAGGCCTTTGATTTATAATGGCACTCGCGTTGAAAAAGCTCTTAGCTGTTGAATAATGCCAAACATTCTATTTCATGATGCACATAGGACGCGTTGGCTCAGGCGCTGTATCTACGCATCATTACCAGACTGGGATTCTGAGTTTTGTTTTACAAAAATGTGATGTGTATTGCCATTGATTAAACTGAAGGTATGGAAAATAGCTTTTATTCTCTAAAATAGAAATGATAGACTGGCAATTTACATTTGGTTTAGACTGGAAAACTATGTAGACATACATGTAGTCTATAATAATAAGTTAAACGTTATTTTTTTTATAACGCAGATTTGATGACAGATGGAGGTGGACGATTCTGATTCAGCAAGTATAGAATATGAATTTGAGACACAGCCAGGAAGTGTTGGTTTCATGGTGCTGGACTCGCAGTCGGAGCCTCAGGCCAAGAATACTGAAGAGGGTGATGTGATGCAGATGTGGCCTGCCCTGCAGCCAAGAGAACAGAAAGTAGGAACTACATGTATCAAGCTCAACTAGAGTAAACTAAATGACACTGAAAAAAAAATATTCTTGTTTTCACAATAGTGGTGAAAAAAAAAATTAATAAAAGATAAAGGCCAGTGTACATTCTGAAAGCGTAAAAGACAAGATCTAGATTCTGGGAAACAGGTGTAGTAATTAGCCCCTTCATGATAACTGCCATACTACACTTTTGCAGAGCAAAATAATAACAGATAATTAAATGAAGTATATGAAACAATTACTCATATTTCACCAAACTTTATCATTTTGCCCTGAAAAAGAGCAGTACCGCAGTTACCCTGAAACGGTCTAGGGGGATATACATATAAATAATAATTATGCAAGTATAAATATGTTACCAAAGCTCAATTTACAATATTAAATTTTTACGAAAAAATGATAATATCTCAAAGTAAACATCGGGTATATAAAGTTTGTAAAAATCATGCTTCACAGGGGCTGACAAATAGATTTTTAAGTCACTTGCCCAAGGGCAAGTGCATGGTCAAAACTTACTTGCCCTACCTGAATTTCTGCCTGCCCAACCATTAACTTACACTGTATTTAATATGTTGACGGTGCGACCGTTAGAGTGAGCGCAAACTCTTCTCATGTTTTAACTCTTTCAACACTGAGTAACTTTTATCAACCAACCCCTGGTACACTGAGTAACTTGGGACATCACTAAACATTTCACCTTCCGTCACAAAAAATACTATAACTTCTTTATTTCTTTGAATATTTTAATAAATGACACATCATTAGAAAGGTGAGGCATTTCTCTTTTAAATGATATAAATTTTATATATATACAAAATTATTTATCAAGTCAAAAACACTAATAAAATTCATAATTACATTTTAGAACGGATCTTATGCAATAATTCAATAAATTTGCTGCTATGAAGTTTCAAAATCAATTATGTTCTTACCATCGTTTAAAAGAGAAATTATTTCCGAGTAAAATGATATGCAATATGTCAGAATTTATCAAAAAGCAAGTCCATAATTATCAATAAATAAAACGGGGTGTTTCAGAACATCGGAAGAAGTCTGGCGCGTGGAAAACATCCTCTCTTTAGGAGCCTTGATATTCCGATTCCAAGTCATCTTTCTCCGACAAAATTTCACAACATTGTTAATAACTCATGTATTTGTTGTCTAGAAACATTTATAATGTCTAATTCCCTCATTTTATTAAATCTTTCATCGCCAGAAAGATCGGACATTTCGTCGTTTACCGCCATTTTGCTTTCTTCTTCGTTTTCTTTACTAATCATCTAATTTTCCTTATTTTTTCGTAGTTTTCGCCATGTGGGCCGCCATTTTTATTAACGGATGTTTACATCATTCTACCCATAATTCATAGCGAAAGATTTTGCGCAGAGAACACTTTCTATTTCTAAGAATAAACGTTTGACTTTCAGTTTAGTGTCTGAGACCGATGTATCGGTCTACCGTGTTCCAAGACAAAATTTTATCAGACCGATGTATCGGTCTACAGTGTTGAAAGGGTTAATTTAGATCGGGCTCGTCAAACCGCACGTGACATTTGGTGTGTCTAGACTCTGACGTCACATGACGTCGTATGTAAGTTACAAAATACCAAGAAAAAAATGAATAGTGAGGAAAGATAATGAAAAAAGTTACGTTTACTATTTATCTTCAATATGTATCCATTTAATCAAAGCAAGTAAACTTTTTGTTAAACATTTGCCGTCATTCTCGTGAGAACGCAACTTTACTAAGTGATGCATTGTGGGTCAAAATTACTGCGGTAAAAAATTCTAAAGAATGAATGTGCAGTAGTCCGATTTTTCTCTTCGCCCAGGCGTTGTCGTTAGAGCTTCGCGACGCTCGCTATAAATATTTCAAAAAAGAGAAAGACAAATACTGAGTTTAAAATTGGCATAAATATTGATTTTATTTTTGATAATTGATTAAGTCACTTGCCCACGGGCAAGTGGTTGATAAAATTTCACTTGCCCAACCCAGTGGCAGTGGGATTTGTCATCCCCTGTGCTTCATTTAATTCAACCTGCCATTATCAATTTTTGAACTAATCTTTGATTCTTAACTCATTTTAAGTCATAACTAGAATCTATACAAATTAATCTTCATATCATTTTTTACTTCAATAAGGACTTGATTTCTCAATTTTCTTGTTTAATTGTCAGGAGGAGGACGTAAAGACTTCAAGAAAATGTATAACCTCTGTAATGGACACATCTGGTGATGAACAAAAACCAACAGGTATATATATATGAAACATGGCTTCTAAACAAGTTTAAAGTATTTGACAAATTAGATTGCAAATCATCTTTTAAAGATAATATCAGTGATGATGAAGAAAACATATTCATATTTCAGAAGCTCCACAAATTTTAGCAACTGAGACAGAATTAAGTGAGTCTGAGCTGGAAAATGATGTCACTGTGATTGAGAAACCAGAAAAGACAGACAGTCAAAAGCGAACAACAAGTAATGAAAAGTAAGAGTGGATTTTCTTTTCATGGAAAATGAACAAACATTAAGTTTAAATTGCAATAATAATGCAGCAATTTGTTCAGAAGAAAATTATTTATATCAGGGTATCACAAAATTTACTCTTTTCTGGATGTATACAACAATTTGTTCAGAAAAGAATTATTTATATCAGAGCATTATAAAATTAAATTTTCTGTTTTCTAGGCCCTCGGCATTGTTTAGATCCATGTCTCCACAGGATATGTTTGAAGGTATGTGTGATTGATATTTACATTCACTAATATCTTGTGTGCATTATCTCTTACAGTTCAACATTGTTCACGGAATATATTCTATCACACACACAACGTGGCTTCATGAAGCAACTGCAGCAGAATCAGAATTTTTATGAGGATAAAGTTTTGTGATCTGAAATTTTATTTGTTATAAAGTAACTCTGATTGTAGATGAGGAGAAAGAAGTGTGTACACCAGCAGGGTTTGTGGGGTCTCTACATTTGTCTAATCAGGCCATGCTGGTCCCTGAAACTACAGAGTCTGATCCCTTCCCCTCCACCCCAGAAGAATTTGCCGATCTCCCAAGAATAATACCTAGCTCACCCACAGATGGGTCTTTTAAAGGTAAGGGAAACAAGATCAGGTGTTATTTTTTGACATCCCTTTTAGAATTTGAGAAATATTAAGAGTTAACAGTTAAATTTAAATATACATCTGAACACAGGCTAAACTCATATATTCACAGTTTATATCATGAATACAATGTGGATACAGTGAGAAAAGTACATGTATATAAAAGATATTTTTTCACCAAATACAATAGTTTATCCTAAATGTTTTTCTATAACTACAAAATTTTTGGACAAAAAATGTTTTTTCATAATTTTTGAAAATTATCTATTAAACTCTAGCTTAGTTTGCAAAACCACACAGCCAGCCCTGTTGATTTGAGATCATCACCTGCATATCCCAGTCTAATCTATTGTAGTTAGACAGATTTCTTACTTTTGAAAATAGTCAATTATTGTATGTATGAACATATTGTCTGAGACTTGTTACACAAATAAATCTTGTTTTTCACTAGATGACTCTATAGATAACCCAGCTCACTACGATCCACAACAAGACTCCACCCTGGCAGATGATGTCACTGTCCTGCAGGTAACACTACAGGGTTTATTGTTATACATTTATACTGAATGTTAGTGAATTGGATTTTTTATTTGAACTGAAATGCAATGCTATTTTATTATTCCTGTATTTTTTGTTTTAAAGAAACCAAAGTCTGATAAATCTGATGAACTGGAGAAGAAGACTCCAAGTTCCTCTGAGGAAAAAGAGGAAGAGGAGAAACAGACATCCAAGTCAGAGGTTCATAATGGCAAATTAATACTGTAGAAAGCCCATTTTCTGGATGGTATTATTTAATGCTTTGTGATCTGTCACAAGTTTTCTGCGGAATTTGCACCATATTCATTTTAGTACATTAGAGTCATATAGTGATGATTTAAGAACATTGCATAATTTTCAACCCCAGGATTGAAAAACATTGTCATTCCATGGAATTGATATTTCTTGGAAAAATTAATTTTGCAGTCAGTATGCCCAAATATTTCATAACTTAACAAGCTTATGTTAAAGTTCTGTCCAATAGAGAATTTGTTCGGTAGTTTGTTTTCATCTTAAAGGATAGTTTATTCATGTGTTTTTGACTTTTATTCTAGTCCGTAGAGTATAATCCAAAGGGGGTGTCTACATTGGCTGGGAGTTCAGATGACCAATCTCTACACCTACACTACTCTGAAACCCAGAAGTCATCACAAGCACAGGTAAACTCTAAGACAGCCATGCAGTATGCATCTTAAGAGGAATTCACCAATATTGCTAAGATTATTCATTGATAAATTGAATGGACCAAATACAAAGACAAATACCATTGACAAAAGCAGGTCTTAAAACAATAATTTGTGACATGCATCTGAAATCAATTAATCCTTTTAATATTGCTGATCTAATTTAAGTTTGCATCATCAGTAATTTTAAAACATTGCATCATCAATATAAAAAGAGCCTTATTCAAAGCACATTCATTAAATTATTCAAAAAGATAATCAAATTTATCTTAAACGATAATGAACTGAAACAAAACCTTCTTCACAGAAACACCCAGCTGATTCAGTAGAAGTTGTTGGAACTGAGTTTATGGATGTCATTTCTATTCACAGCACTGATCCAACTGGTAAATAGTATACAGTACATGTATGTTCAAATGAAAAACAAATATATTTATTGAAACTATTATTCATGAATTATTCAGCCTCTATATCTTCAGAACAAGAGCAAATTAATGAAAAAAAATTTGGAGATGTGTTCTATAGATTGTTGAAAAATGTCTAAATGATTTCCTAGAGATGGACCAAGTGCCAGAATCTCAGGAGCTATCCTTGAGATTGACTCCGTCACAGAGTGATAAATCGGGCAAAGAAACAGATATAGAAATAGTGCCTGACCAAAACAGAACAAGGCTACCACTGGTTAAAAGTCAAGATCTAGTCACAGGTTTGTATGATAAGTCTGACAGAAAAACAGATACATGTATGTAATAGAAGTTGTGTACTAAAACTCATCTCAATAAGAAAATTCATGTTTTATTCATTCAGTATGTATTACTAAAATTCATATGTAGGTTAGACCTTATATTGCTTCTGATGTAATCAAAAAAAACATTGTTATTTGAATCTTTTTGACTGTAAATATTTTATTTATTATCCCGTAAGCATACATGTGATAATTTCTATACCCAAATACTGTACAGCAGTCTTCAAAATACTGGAATTTTGGCGAAAATACTGTACATTGCTAATCAAAAAACGGTACAAAAAACGGTACAAAATATCGACCAAAATTAATGTTAGGCGTTCATTTTTTAATAATAAATTTCAAATCAATGTACAGATGCACCACTGCATAACTTGTATTATGATTTATTATTCATTTCAAGAAACTCTTGAAAGATTTTGAATTTCGGCAATAAACTATGCTAGGCCTAAATGCAGAAAGTAAAAAGTACAGTAATTATAAAAACAGTTAAATGTATGAGTCTGGTCGTCTCCATTCATCTGCATTTTTTTGATTGTACTAAAAAAGCATTTCTCATAATCTGTGTTCGAATAAACAATATGTATGCCTAAGCAAATAATGGACTAAATTTCGTTTTGCTATCACAAAGTCTTTGATTCTTGTGATTGGCGTTTTCTCTTTGAAATGTCTTTATTTTCAACAAATTACAGTTTAAAAATCCTTAAGAAGGGTTGTATTAAAAAGCAATCAGCCAAACAAAATGCTTTGATATCTCTTAATTACGATGTAATTATCACAGGAATATTTCACACCTTCGTTAATGATGTTTTGTTTACATTAATCAAGCGCAGTAAGTCACGCATAGTTCAAGATTTCCGGTGTTGCGCAGGGGGGAATGAGAGAAAAATGGCGGTTTCCGGTAAACATTTCAAAACACGGTACACATTTTCGTTTCCCGTGAATTTTGGTGTACCGCCGTGAGCCCGTGAATGGGGTCGAAAATATGTGATATTTTGTAACCGCCGGTACATATCACATGTATGCTTAAGTGAGATGTAATTACATATTCATTGAACATTTATGTTTTTATCACCCATACAAATACTTGGGTCTGCTTTAAAACATCTTCTCAATCTTCATTTACATACATGTGTATAATGTGTATATGTTTATTACAGAAAAGCAGACCACAATTCAAAGAAGACAGGCCTGCCTTTCCCAGCCAACCAAACTGGACAGAAACATGGAAGTAGATGTGAGCAGACTTAAGAAATTAGCTACGGAGGCTAAAAGCAAAGAATTGGATGTTACATTGGCGTCTGAATCAGGTGAAAATCTCAACAGTTTCATTTTGAAAAGATTTTATTCATTTTGTTCTTCATATCTGTTATAACTTAATATTAAGAAGGAAGTACATGTAAGTGACAATTTTGTATTGCAGAAAACTTTGCGTTGTCATTACCAAAAGATGGGGAGCTTTTACATCCCAAAATCTCGAATGGAAAATTGTCCAGATCTGGAGTTCAAAATGAGGCAAGTCAGAGAACCAGTCAAGAAGCAAGACCTAATCGCTACATTCTGGATAGTCTAGAGCAGGGACCCAGTCAAAAAGCAGGGCCTAGTCATTACATTCCTGATAGTCCAGAGCAGGAAACCAGTTGTCATCGTGTAGAGTAAGTTACAAAATATAACAATTTGTTATTATATTTTTTGGCCTAAAAGTTGAACTTTGGCATTTCAAATCGGTTTGGATATGCTGAATATCTTGGACATGTTAAATTAAATATAAAGTTCATACTTGTTTAGGTTTGAAAGCTCTGTGATCATAAAGTTTGTTTTTGTCAGTCCTGCTGAGTTAGACACGTTGATACATGGGAAGCTTAATATCAAAGTAATTTCTTTGTAAATATTGATTGCATCCTGTTTTAGCCCTGGTCTAGAGAACACACCACCTGCAGTACCTGTATCAGTGGAATCTCAGTCCCAGGGATCCAATCAGAGCTTTATGCTGCTGCAGCCAGACGTACAGAACATAACCATCAGGGACTCGGAGGAGACTCAGAAAAATGTCTTCAAAAGTGTAAAAGGGAGAGATTCTCCAAGGAAAAGACTGATTCAAGAGGACAGGTAAGCAGACTTGTACAGGTCCTTGTTTTCAACAGGTGCCATTTTAATGGCACCATTTGTTCAAATAATGGCTAATAAAATTCAAGATACATGTTTTGTTTGATTATTTTTTATACAGTACATCTTACAGTCTTTTTATTTTTTGCAATTAAATTTTTTCTTATTTTAGTGATGAAGAAGTAGTCATTGTGCAGAGACACAAGAAGTCCCGACCATTAAGTCAGGATGATTTTGATGAGGTCACGTGTCATATCACAAAGTCACAGTCCAAGCAGACTGGTACCCCTGACATCACGTCATTGGAGAAGACATCCCAGCCGACAGACAAGGTGGCCCCAGGAGGGACTCCGTTAAGGAAGGTTCCGTCTATCTCTAGTGAGGGCAGCCAGTCGAGAGTCTCCCTCTACAAGAAGACCTCGGTGTCAACAGAGGGGGGATACCAGGCCAGTGTAGAAGAGGAACACAGCACCACTCACGTGGCTGAGCAGGAACTAGTCGTTCACAGCACCACTCATGTGGCAGATCAGGAACTTGTCGTTCAGAGCCACGAACCCGAACCCTTGATAGCCATTCCTGTTCACGTTCCAGGAGAAGTGGTTCAAAGCCATGAAGCTGAAACTATGAAGGTAAATGTTTAAATTTGATTTTACACATATGTAATTTAAATACAATATCCTACCTGAATACTTTTGTTACATTAGATGGAGTAAATTTGATCAAGGAAAACCGAATAAACTTAACTACATACAGTATAAGTTGTTACAAATGCCTTTGTACCCCCTGGTACTTGCACAATATATGATTTCTACACATAGGTAACCAAAGCACAGAAGAAACGCAGACACCCAGCGAATCCAATAGTACAGACCCCTGTCTCTGGGAAGAAAAGAAAGTGTCTAACAAAGCTGAGGATCAGGAAAAGTTCCCCCAAAGAAACCACAGAAGCTGTGACCCCCACTTTATTGACGACGCCCACTGTGACTACAACTTCATCTACCAGCGGCGAGGAAGGCTCCCAGATCAATGCGACAAGGCCAAGCCTGCTGTCCGAGAGGTCAACCATCGTCCTCTCGCCACCGCTGGCCCGGGCATCATCCCTGGAATCTGTGCTGGCTAAGCCACCTCTGATGTCCACATCAGTGACACCGACAAACAGACCAACGAAGGTCAGGACAAGTCAAACAGAACCCAGGTTCAAGGTTCCACCGAGGAGGTCATCAGATTTAGATCAAGTATGTGAATGTATAGCCCAGTTTATAGACATGTGTAGTCCAGATTATAGTCTTGTAATTTAGTAAACTTTTTATCTTAAAATGTACTTAACTGGAAAAAAAGAAGCAAGGTCAACCAATATTGTTCATATTCAATCTGAATTTTGATAATTTTCATATTTAAGTAAATGCTTATTGATGAGAGGAAACTTATTTTTATTTCAATTTCCATTTTAAAACTGTTCAGCAACTGACTGCTTCACAAGACGTTGAACGCAAGACCATCATTGTAAAGGTCAAGCAGTTTGAAGTGCGGACAGAAATAACAGAAATCATAAGGCAGGGAAAGGTGGTGTCCAAAACCGAGAAGGAGGTATGTATCCTTGACAAAAATTTATGTATTTTTAGATAAAGAATGGTCAGAAAAGTAACATTTTTGTCATCATACATGTAGTTTTCAATTTATTCTCCAATTAAGTATAGTAAAACACATATCAGAAAAGGATATTTTATATGTATATGAACCTGCCTCTAATTGCGTGACTAATTGTAACTGGATAAAAAGAATTGGCAGATATTACATGTATATCAAATGAAGCAATGCATTTTTTTGATGATTTGCTTTAACTTTTGTATACAGAATTGAGTAGAAATTAAAATTTTGTACAGATAGCAAAGGAGCCAGTGACCATTAAAGTGAAGACTTATCAGGAACTGGAGGCCTTGTCTCCTAGTACTCTGTCCCCCTCCCGCACAGGAAGTTCCTTGACCTCAGGCGACCTGGGTGACATCAGTTCAAGTCTCTCAAAGTCAGGGTCATCTAACGGTAAGGAAGAAAAAATGAGTAAAGGGTGTGCAAAAAGTCTTAAACTTGAGAAAAAATGAAAATATTCAGTGTTCAGTATCCACTTAATATATAAATTTTTTTCACTCTCTTTTTCCATTAAATAAGGTCACAGAAAACTTTTGATTGTAGTTCCGTCTTCGTTGAGTGAACATGATGTACCATCAAGGCAACCAAGCATCTTAAGTCTGGATGGCAGGTTGGTTCAGTTCATATGTAACTATGTTCCATGTTCCCCTAGCTCAACAAGTTCTTTAATTCAAGCACCCCCTTAAAAAGTAGATATTACAAAAAGCAGCATAAATTGGCATGTCTTTATTTCCAGTACTGAGGTGTCACAGGTAATCTCCCCTGTCCAGGAATTACCAGAGCCCACAGACAGAGTTGTGGTGGCCCCGCCGGTGGTTACCGGCACCACCACTCCAGTCCCCTCTACAAGATCGGCCTCCTTTTCTCCTAATGTCTCCACTGGGTTCAGTATTGATTGTGCCTCTGTCCAAGCCGAGTCAGTGGTCAGTAAACCCAGTACTAGTGCAGGTGAGTCGTGCTGCGGTGTGGTGGGAGTTTCAAATGTACTGTATGTGTACTTTAAAAAGCGGGCTACATATTCTAGTGGCTTTGGCGCTGACAGTGATGCGACATTTGCAGCACTATGGCAATAACTCTATACCCAGTGATTGCTAAATTTTGAATATGTCATTTATGTACACATTCAAGCATACTGGCCCACAAAAAAAAATACAAAAAGCTTTTATTCGTAATATTTTTAATCAGATTGTAACAGGAAGAGTTAACTTGATTTGAAAATATAGTAGATTTGTTCATGTTAATTGAAACAATTGCAAGTTATCTTTGAACTAGACAGTTATAATTAGTAACATCCCCAATATTCCTACCCCAGTTGAATTGCAGAGAGTATGTCCACATTCCACAGTAATCCATAATCCTTTAGATTTTACTTTGTATTGTTAAAATATTTTTATACCCCCCGCAAACAAAGTTTGGGGGGGGGGGTATATAGGAATCACCCTGTCCGTCTGTCTGTGCAAACGTGTCGGGTCCATATCTTTCTTATGGAGGGACATTAGAATCTACTACTCCACACAAAGATTGCCCATGACCTAAGGGTGTGTCATGACCTTGACCCAAGGTCATTTGGGGAAGTTCAAGGTCACTGGAAGAAACATTTCATAATTTGTGTATGGTCCATATCTTTCTTATGGATAAACTTAGTAGGTTCTCATTTCACACAAAGATTGCCCATGACCCATGGGTGGGTTATGACCTTGATCTAAGGTCATTTAGGGAACTTCAAGGTCACTGGAAGAAAAATTCTTGTCTGGTCCATATCTTTCGTATGGATAAACTTGGTAGGTTCTCATTTCACACAAAGATTGCCCATGACCCAAGGGTGTGTCATGACCTTGACCCAAGGTCATTTAGGGAACTTCAAGGTCACTGGAAGAAACATTTCATAATTCGTGTCTGGTCCATATCTTTCTTATGGATAAACTTGGTAGGTTCTCATTTCACACAAAGATTGCCCATGACCCAAGGGTGTGTCATGACCTTGACCCAAGGTCATTTGGGGAACTTCAAGGTCACTGGAAGAAAAATTTTATAATTCATGTGTGATACATATCTTTATTATGGAAAAACTTACTTCTGAAAAATCCAGCGGGGGTATTTTGTCCCATTTGGACAGTTCTAGTTACTTTTGTATCTGTATAACAAAGAAGTTAAAAAGTATATCACTGAGGGAGTTAGCAAGATTCCAATCCCCCCAACTTAAGCTATTTCCCTGGCCTTTGGGAAATGGAATCTTGACAACTCCCTTAATGATGTACACTGTACTTAAACTGTATATTTATACTTGATTTAGGAAAATAGTATATGTAAATACGGAATATTGTTTAAAAATTCATCAGTATGTCTCTATGTGAATGAACTTTTTGAAGGAGCTGGTAGAGAAGTTCCAGAAGAGAAACAGAGGGGTGGATCTAGTGGAGAAGTCAGGTAAATTTTAAATAATTCACCTTTGTTATGTTCTTCAGTATATATGAAAATTGTGATGGTATTTTCTTATTAGTACATTTTGTTAAATAAGGTATTTGTTTCTTTTTTCACTAGTTCTGAGGTTCCTTATCAAGATGAAGTCAATGTGATGGCGACCTCGGAAACTACTGGAGTCGGCTTGATCCGAACGGAGCCTGTGAAAGGTATTATGTTAATAATTTCTTAATCTGGTTATATAAACATTGGTCAAAATTTGTTATCTGAGTGTACATGTACAGGTATGTATATCAAATAATTTAAGAAACAATCATTGCTCTCAAATATTACTTTCAACTTCTTCATATGCATTAAAATGAAAGGTGGAAAAGTATAGCTTTAGAAAAATCCATAACTTACATATTATGTACATGTAACTTTGTAATTTCTTGTGTATTAAATCTTCTACATATTACAGATTCCAGGATAATGGCTAAGTGGAAAGATGGCTATTTTTATCCAGGGACAGTACTAAAAGTTGATGGGTCTAGGTATAAAATGAAGTTAATAAAATAACAATTATCTTCTTCTCAAAAAATCCTTCTGCTAATATTATTAATCTGTAAACCTGTGTAGTTTATTTGGTCTTCTAATGAGATAAAGATATTATTTTGAAAAATATAACTGCATAGCCTCATATTTTGACATCTTGCTAGTAGATGTGTTTTACACAGTATATCTTCCCTAACATTTCAGGTTCCACGTGAAGTTTGATGATGGAGACTGCTGCTGGGTTAGACACTCTCAGATTCTGTGGGTGGAGCGCCTCCCTCTGGGGCAGCCTGTCATGGTTCAGTCACAGGACGGCTACTTTGATGCTGGTCTGATTGTGGGGCAGGAAAAGAAGGGCGGGGTCGTACAGTACTCTGTGGAGAAGGACTCGGGGGAACAACGACTGTAAGGAACAAAGTTTTTTTAAAATTAGCACAAAAATGGTATATTTTGGTGTCAAAAAAGTCACTTTTCTTATTGCTTGAGTAGATGATTTCAGCAGATACATGTATTAAGTATATACCATTGATGTGTTCTGTTTGTGTATTGACAGGTTTCACAAGAGTCAGGTGATTTTAAATGAGGACCAGGCTAACCTATTGTTGACTGACCTCCCAGTCTCCCCCCAGAAGTCTGCTCCCACTGTAGAGCCTAATCCAGGCAACGTTAGTCTGGGTAGGTAACAGTAATATGTACATGTACAGTGTATGATGTATCTTTTGTGAAAACATTCAGGATTACTTCATTTTACACTCCATAGTGATTGGTGTGTACACATTGAGGGTAGCCATCTCCCTTGCAAAATTCAAAATATACATGTATTTAGATAAAACTTTTAAAAAATTTAAAAATATTTTTCAAGGGTTTCATAAAATATAGATTTGATCCTTTAGAAAATTGTTTACATTTTGGGGGAACAGGTACTGGATATTTAAGATATTTGAGGTTGCAACATTTAACACACCATATTTGTTGGCAAGACTGGTAATTTATAAACAAGTTCTTTACACTACTGCTTTATAAATGTTAGTGTCATATCCTGATCATTAAATATTATTTCCTAGCCTGGCTTCTTGTATGTGAAATTTTCTATTAAATTAACAGATAACCTGGTTGAGGGAAAGAGGAGAGTGGGCAGTAAGTATGCCCAGAGTGAATGGCCTGACTCCAGACCTGGGAAATCGTCAGATTCCACGGACACGCCCAGCAAATCTAAACCACACAGGTCCTCAACCAGAAAAGCAGCCAACAAAACCGAGGAATTCGAGAAACCTTCTACATCAAAAGGAATGAGGAGGAATGAAGAGTCAGATTCAGAGAAACCTTCAACTTCACGGGACCCGAGGAAAAAATTCCCACCCATACCCCAGAAAGCAACCAGTACACCCACACCAAAAGAAAAGGGGAAGGGCAAAAGGAAAGCAGTAGGTAGGGTTACAAATTTTGTAAAATTATAGTTTTTATAATGTGATCGAAATCACATTAACTTTTTAATAAAAATTAGAAACTACATGTAAATTTAGGAATTAAATAAAAATTAGAAATTATAATGCGATAACACAAAAGTTCACTTGGTAAATTTTGCATAAAATCTTTTATAATGTAACCACTTTTACCTAAAAATGATGTTTTTGTGAGAAGATGGCCATGCATCATTTTGCTTAAATAAAGTTCTTGTGAATAAGAACTTGCAGTATTACACATCTGAGATTTTCTACAGACAAAGCTTATTATCTTGAATTTGATGGGCCAAGATATATAATGTTGAAGTACCTAAAGAAAAAGTGGTTTGGTCTTCCCACTCATTTCAAGAGATACATGAATCAATGATTTACATATCAAAGTTTAACTGTTTTAACATTAAATGTGTAATTAAAATACTTGCAGACTCTGAATCCACCCCTACATATCCTGACATACCTGTAGCTGTCTCTCCTATAGAACATAGGAGATCTCCTAGAAAGGTCAGACAAGGTAAGCATGAATAATTATCCCTCACAAAGGTCAGACAGGGTAAGCATGAATAATTATCCCTCACAAAGGTCAGACAAGGTAAGCATGAATACTGTATATGTATTACATTTGGCGTGTACGATATTTGGCGGAAATTCAATTTTCAACAAGTTAGCGTAGATTTGATTTAACGCTGTCTGAATTTGCTAGTTATAAAAGTTAATATACAAGACATTTAGTGATGTACTTGAATTAGCAGACTGTTTTCTGCCAAAATCGCCAAATAGAATACACCGCTGAATGTAATAGGTTTACAGTAATTATCCCTCACAATCAGATAGGGTAAATATGAATTACATTCATAATTCATTTCTAATCACTAACAAAGGTCAGTTAAGATAAGCTTGAATGTGTCACCCACAATCATAAACATTAAAGGGTAGGTTATTAATGAATCTTTATTAGTAGTAAAATGTTTGTCTATGTGAATGTTGGATAATGTGTGAAACAATTTGATCCTCATCATTACCTTTACAGGTTTATTTGACAAAGAGAAGCAGCCATCCAATCCCTTGCCATTTGCTGGTTTTGTGTTTCTGCTGACTTATGTGGAGAAATCCAGAGACTTTAAGGAAGAGGAAAAGGCTCTCCTACGTAATCCAAACTTAACTTCTGATGAGAGCTCAGCAGAAAGTAAGAAAATGTCATTCAACATGCGTTTCTGTTATTTTCTTTGGACATTAACATACATGTAAATATCATGGTGTTAGAATTTGTTTTTCAAATAAATCAAGAAGTACATGCAACTTGATATTTGTTAAGTGATATATTTTTGCCATACAGATTTTTAAAAAAAAATCCTTACAATATAATATTAGATATTTTCTTTAATCTTACCTTATTTGGGATGTTACTAATTCCTAGTGGTGGGCATGAATTAAGCAAAATAACCCACATGTAGAATATGAATTGGTAAGTTGAACAAAGCATTGCACATTTTGCAGATGAAGACGAGACTCCCTTTGATAAACAAGACATCACTAGGAGGATAGTAGCAGGGGGAGGAAAAGTCCTGGACAAGTTTGATGAGGCCGAGGTACGAGGTGTTAGATTAATTAATGTTAATTAGGAGTTCATGTTTTGTTTGAATTCTCTTGCAATTTGGTGTGAGGGAAATTGATTACACATAGCTGTTAGCCCAAGATTTAATTCTAGGTGTACTTTTTTCTCAGTTTTTTATGATTAAAGGTAATTTACACCATACAGTCAAATTAACATGATTAAAAAGTACACCATCCAAATACTGAACATTTTAATCCCAAATACAGGAAAACTCAGTTATAGCGAAGTCAATGGGACCTATGAAATTACTTCGCTGTAACCGTAATTCGGTATATCCGTATAAGGAATTCTTTAAATTTACATAGCTGGGGATCCAAGATAACTTCATTATATCCATGAATTCGCAATATCCGTGTTCGTACTAAAGGAGTTTTACTGTACATGTAATATTTTTGTTTGGTTTTGGAAATAATTCTTGGCACAAATAAATGCAGGCACTGCAATACTTCACAAACTAACAACTGTGAATCTATGATGACCAATTGTAATATTTGAAATAAGACAACTTGCTCTACTCTGTTGACAGATTGCCAGTGCCAAGCAGTGTTTCCTGATCTCTAACTCCTACCAGAGGACCATTAAATACTTCCAGTGTCTGGCCGCCGCCATTCCATGTGTGTCTCACCTCTGGATCAGGGATTCCTCCTCTGAGGTCAGTCAGTTTACTGGGGACAAAATCATTCGCTTGAAAATCCCCAGACTGTGAAGGGAAACTTAATTAGTACATGAACATTGTAGAAGGGTAATTAAAAGTAGGTTGGTTAAAAATCTTTATAAGTCTGTATTACTGTTGGAATGGAATGTAGCATTGCGACAATAGAAAATTAAAAAGTAGAGAACTGCTGCTAAGATAAAATGGAGAGAATTCTTGATAGAGCTTGATACAGTGAAGCACTGTGAAAATCTGTAGCAGACAACTGTGCAAAGAGCAGTATTACATGTACTGACAAAGTCAAGTAACCTTTACTTCACTAGAAAGTTTAGATCGTTTCTGCATTCTCTGAGAAATAAAATTGTACATACATGTACATGGTTTATATTGATTTTATGACACTACATGTACCTTTGAAAAAGAATTTTAAATATTTACCAGGGAATGCTGTTGGATTACAAAGCTTACAAACTGCAAGCTGGAGTCAGCATAGAAAAAAGGAAGCTTATGGAATGGTGGGTATTATTTATTTTCTTTGCTTGTATGTCCAAAGTATGTACTTGTGAAAGTGAAATTAGAATGAAGATGTATACTGTAGAAGCACAAATTTTCGTGGGCATAAAATTTCGTTGTTTTGTCATCAAAAATAGATTCGTGGGCATTTAATTTCGTTGTTTTGAAAGAAAACCTATTCAATATATAGTCATATAAAATTTCGTGTGGGATTTAATTTTGTTGAATATTGTTAACAACAAAATAAACGAAATTTAACTCCCATCGAATATTTGTGCTTTAACAGTATATATTTTTAGCTCACCTGAGCCGAAGGTACAAGTGAGCTTTTCTGATCAAAATTTGTCCGTCGTCTGTCGTTGTCGTCGTTGTTGTAAGCTTTTCACATTTTCATCTTCTCAAGAACCAACAGGCCAATTTCAACCAAACTTGCCACAAAGTATCCTTAGGTGAAGGGGATTCAGGTTTGTTCAAATGAAGGGCCACGCCCTCTTCCAAGGGGAGATAATTATAAATTTAGTGAAAAATTAATGGCATTTTTAAAAAATCTTCTTCTCAAGAACCACTGGGCCAGGAAAGATGAAAATCATGTGGAAGCATCGTCAGGTAGTGTAGATTCAAGTTTTTTCAAATCATGACCCCCGGGGGTAGGGTGAGGCCACAATGGCTGATCAAAGTTTTACATAGGAGTATATAGGGAAAATCTTTGAAAATCTTCTTCTCAAGAACCACTGGGCCAGGAAAGATGAAACTCATGTGGAAGCATCCTCAGGTAGTGTAGATTCAAGTTTGTTCAAATCATGATCCCCGGGGGTAGGGTGGGGCCACAATGGCCGTTCAAAATTTTACATAGGAGTATATAGGGAAAATCTTTAAAAATCTTCTTCTCAAGAACCACTGGGCGAGGAAAAATGAAACTCATGTGGAAGCATCCTCAGGTAGTGTACATTCAAGTTTGTTCAAATCATGACCCCCGGGGGTAGGGTGGGGCCACAATGGCTGATCAAAGTTTTACATAGGAGTATATAGGGAAAATCTTTAAAAATCTTCTTCTCAAGAACCACTGGGCCAGGAAAGATGAAACTCATGTGGAATTCATCCTCAGGTAGTGTAGATTCAAGTTTGTTCAAATCATGACCCCCGGGGGTAGGGTGGGGCCACAATGGCTGATCCAAGTTTTACATAGGAGTATATAGGGAAAATCTTTGAAAATCTTCTTCTCAAGAACCACTGGGCCAGGAAAGATGAAACTCATGTGGAAGCATCCTCAGGTAGTGTAGATTCAAGTTTGTTCAAATCATGACCCCTGGGGATAGGGTGGGGCCACAATGGCTGATCAAAGTTTTACATAGGAGTATATAGGGAAAATCTTTAAAAATCTTCTTCTCAAGAACCACTGGGCCAGGAAAGATGAAACTCATGTGGAAGCATCCTCAGGTAGTGTAGATTCAAGTTTGTTCAAATCATGACCCCTGGGGGTAGGGTGGGGCCACAATGGCTGATCCAAGTTTTACATAGGAGTATATAGGGAAAATCTTTGAAAATCTTCTTCTCAAGAACCACTGGGCCAGGAAAGATGAAACTTATGTGGAAGCATTCTGGGGTAGTGTAGATTCAAGTTTGTTCAAATCATGACCCCCGGGGGTAGGGTGGGGCCACAATGGCTGATCAAAGTATTACATAGGAGTATATAGGGAAAATCTTTAAAAATCTTCTTCTCAAGAACCACTGGGCCAGGAAAGATGAAACTCATGTGGAAGCGTCCTCAGGTAGTGTAGATTCAAGTTTGTTCAAATCATGACCCCCGGGTAGGGTGGGGCCACACTGGCTGATCAAAGTTTTACATAGGAATATACAGGAAAAATCTTTATAAAAATCGTCTTCTCATTTTTCGTAGACGATTTGCTCAGGTGAGCGATGTGGCCCCTGGGCCTCTTGTTATATGATGCAATAAAGTACAAGGTTGTCTCTAAAGATATTGGCCCACAAAACACCCCATTTATTCTTGATTACCTGTAGGTCTAACAGGAAGGGGGATCTAAAGGGCCTGTCTGTGTTTGTGTCCTCCTCCCACAAGAAGTTCCTGGAGGAGTGGTCCTTTACTCTGAGGTTAGCCGGGTGTCAGGTGCTGGACAAACTGCCATCTGTTAATTCAGGTAAGGGTCATCAGAGGTGAAAATTTCATACCTACTTGTACATGTATGTACATATACTGTGGACCTTCAGATATCCGGTCGATTTTTCATCGGAACGGAATTTTTTAACGTTATTTTGTCTTGTTTAACTGGTAATTCAGATATCCGGATGCTTCACATATCCGCACAAATTAACTAAGAACCAAAGCGTCAGGAGAAACGAGGCACCACTGTATATATTTTTTACAACATGCAGTATATATTTTTTAGGGATGTCAAATCGGTCAATTTTTAATACTCGGTTACTCGGACGTTTTTCCGATCGAGTACCCGGGTACTCGGTAAAAGTGTAAATAAATAAGAACAAGTAAATTGATGAGTGTAAAACATTGTAAACACTTGTAGAAATAAAACCACGTGCTCTGATAGGAGGTTTACACGTAAATGCATTTCTATTGTAACAATGATTAGAACTTCGTGCCCGAATTTAATACAACATTTATTTAAGTTCAATTTATTTATCAGATTAACACAAGAATAAAATTGTAAGTGGTTCATGGTCTTTTTGTTTAAAAAAAATAATCTACTCCGTAATTGTAATGTAACTCTTTGTTGCATTTGACGTCAAGGTACATTGTATATATCAGTCGTACAGTTTGACTTGAACTTGACCAAGTTCTAACAGAGCCGATTTACGATTTTCGTATACTTTTCGATCCTAGATTTTATAGTACATGTATCACGGGACGGTGTCGGTATTTTGTAGTTTGGTGCAATGATGGACATCATTTTTTTAAGCCTTTGCCGTCAACTATTTGTACATGTATTGGCATGTAATGAAACACAACCATATCAACAGTCGCGCGTATAATACATTTCTATTCCCGAGAAATTACGGTAATGACAAAATTATCTAATTTATTTTATGATAACAGACCTTAAAAAATGTTCAGTGAAAAAATAATTAAAGAAAATCAAAAAATAAGGGTAGAAGACAGCCGAAGGTGAGAAAAGCCAGGTAACAGGCGCTTGGTCACGATAATTACTGTATAAACACTGCCACGGGCGATAACGGTCATTTAGAGGAGTAGGAAACCCTAATTACCGTATGTACAAGTGCAATGAGTATTTTACTTTTCAAACCAGAATGTTTAATTCATTAATAAATAACCTTAGAAATATTCAAAAATATGCATCCGAGTAACCGAGTACCGATTTTAGTATTCGATACTCGGACGTTCGATCGAGTACCCGGTTAACCGGGTACTCGTTGACATCCCTAATATTTTTACATCTGTTTTATTTAACAGAGCTTTTTTTGAGGGACCTGCATTTATGTTGGAGGATCATTTCTCTATAATATAGATCTGTGAAATGTCCTTTATTCTACAAATGTTCATTTATTATTTTCTAGGTACACCTGTTAATGTGATAGTGACTGATCTCACCTGTCCTAAATCTGTGTTACGTTACAGTAAGAAGTATGCAATCCCCTTGGTGGCCTCAGAGTGGGTCATTCAGTGCTTGATTAATGGTAAAAGACTGAGTTTTACAGGACACCCAAGATACAGTTATGACTTCAAAGTGTGACAAAACTAGAGGGTTTTACATTTAAATTTGAATCATTGTATAAATACACATGTCCACTCCTAATAACCCCTAGATCCACCACATTTTATATTCAACAGGAATAATACTCCTTGATATCATATAGATGTGCCTCGTAGTCTTGATCAATTCATCATGAGATAGAATTCAGTAGAATGCAGTTGGTGTATAAAAAAGACTGCAAGATTATAAAAATTCTGTAAGGTGTTAGCCATTAAAAAATAATGGACAGTGTACTGAAAGGAGGGGAAAATCATATGTATTTGTACATGCATGTACATGTTAATTGTATACATTTCATTTACTTGAGATTTTATTTTTCAGTTTTATCATTTGTTGCTCATATATGTACTTTTAATGTTTTCCATTTTCTGTTCTTAGTAATTAGTAATAATTTTAATTTTTGTAAACACAGACAATTGCTGTGTTAAACTATGACTACTCATAACAAAAGGCAAGCTTCTTTGTACATGCCTGTGGATTCTTGTATCTTATTAAAAATAGACCTAACGAATAATGAGAAAATGTGCTTTCTTAGCTGAAATGCTAGTACAATTTATGTATACAAAGTATCCACAAGCATTTTCACTTCACCTCTGTAACTTACAGTTTTGTGTAAACTGCTTTAATTTATTTAAACTTTAAAGAATTTTTGTTTGAGGATATTTGCTTTTATAAGAGGAATTTGTTGCATGAAAAATATTTTGAATTTTTAACACAAAATGTAGAAAAATAAAAGAGAAGTCAAAATTTTTATTCAGGATTCTTTTAATATATTCTCTACATTACATTATAGACATGCTACTTTTACAAACCCCTGATTTAATGAAAATTGTATTTTTTTATTTTTACTTTAAACATGGTTGTGAAGTTAGGAATATTTTAAGGATTATGTAATGACAATTTTAGTTGTCTTCTTTTCACATCAATTTCCTACATACTGTACATGTAATCCTAAAAACACACTTCCAAGGTGTAACTGTGCATGCTTTATTCTGGCCACTCCCATTTTTTTTTAAGTCCTCTGTGCCAAAATTATTTTTCAGTGATTAAAAAATACAACTGAGCTGACTTTTGTTTTGATATTGTCAAGTTGACAAAAGGTTTTGATCCTCAAATTATTTTTTATGGTGATCTAGAAACCACCTCTGAAGCAATTATGTATTGAACATGTCCAAAACATATGGGCAAGATTTCCAACTGTGAATTTGACCTAGATCTTTTGCACCTCAACTAAACACTAATCTTGCAACCTTTGTAGCAAGTTTGAGACTGAATGATCCCATTGTATCAATAAGTATGAAAAATTACATGCAACCAGTGAGGGAGAGAAAATGTATCCAAATTCAAACCTGGTCCCCTTGAATATCCAGTTAGGTGTGCATCTTTATAGTTGTGAGTTATCCTGTGTGACTGCTACATTCCACTTTTGAAGTCTTCCCCATGAAGACCCCAACCCAGGCTCTTCCGTTGCAGGTCTTTCATTTCTCATTTTAAGGGGATAGGATGGCACCAAATGTTATAGAAGAAAATATTTTACAAAGAGTAAAATCCAGCATGTGAGGCAAGTTTGAGTGTTCATCCCTTGATGCATCATCCATGCAAGTTAGGTTGAAATAGGCTTATATAGTATTCCCTTGCAGGTCTTTCATTTCCAGGGGATAGGACAGCACCAAATGTTATAGGAGAAAAGTAATAAAGAGTAAAACCCAGCATGTGATGCAAGTTTGTGTGTTCATCCCGATGCAGGCCCATTGCAAGTTTGATATGCCCTAACAGGCCTAAACTTGCATGGATGACATGTAAAGGACTTTTTAGAGATCCATATTTAGCTCACTTTGATGAAGTCGGGATGAGCTTATGCTATACCTCCAGTGTCGGCGTCCAGGTTAAAGTTTTAGGATCAGACCCATTCCCAAGTAACTATAAGCCCTACCTGGACCAAACTTCCATGGATGATGCATCTAGGGATGGGCACTACCAGATTTGCTTCGGATGCTGGATCTGACCTACATTTTCAGATGAGTGACCAGGTTCAAGTTTTTGGAGCAGGTCCATTGCTAATATGCAAGTAACTTACTTTAAGCCCTACTCGGACCAAACTTGCATGGGCGATGCACCTGGGGATGGACACTACCAGACCTGCCTCGGATGCTGGATCTGACCTACATTATTCAGATGAGTGACCAAGCTCATCTTTTTTGAGTATCTAGGAAAATTGTTATTAGGATGCATACTAACTATAAAGAAAATATAATGAGATTGCATTATTTAAACTGATAACATTAGCCATGGTGAGCTGCGTAATCTTTGATAACCTATATTTTTATCTTGGACATAACATCTGCATTCAAAAGCTCTCCTATTGATTTGTATTCTATCAATGGACTCTAGCTTGATTATTGTTCATTATCTCCAGATTTCATCTGCTCCAAAAACTTAAACCTGGTCAATCGTCTGGAGGATGCAGATCAGATCCAGCATCTGAAACAAATCCATTAGTGTGCATCCTTAATGTATCAGTCATGCATGATTGGACAATATAGGGCTTGTAGGTATATGTACTTGGAAATGACACCTTCAATGTACTCCAAAAATATTAATCTGCTCCAAAACGTGGTTATTCTTTTATAGCTGAAATTGCAGCATCTGAAACTTTGTCTTGTGCAATGAAAATATAATTTAAAAGTGTTTACGGTAAAATCACATTTTCGTGGGGTCAATTTTTTGTGGTTTTTGTAAAAACTCGTGGTTCGTGTGGATTTGAATTCTTGGATGAAGAATTTTTGAAAAGTTATTTAACATTTTACATTGCGTGGTGGACATGAATTAGTGGGTGTCCTCATACCTCGAAAACAATGAAAATTAAACCCCAACGAAAATTTGTGATTTCACAGTATACACATCTGATTAAATGAGCAAAGAAGTACTTGAAAAAAAATATTCCAAAACTTTAAACTGTAATACTTGTAGATATACAGATAGGTAATAATGAAAAAATTGCAAATTATATAGAATTTATTTACAATGAACAGGTTCATCAGAATTTTTCTCTCATACTGTACATAAACAAACTTTCAAACATGATAATCACATTGTCAATTTTCGAGAACAATGAACAAAGAGACACCTTTACTTAAACCCACTTATCATGGAATAGAAATAAAATGTCTGAGCTGCCTCTCTCTGTGTAACAAAATTTTGCAGTGCTGAATATTTACACTGCTCAATGAACAGTAAATGTACTTTATACATGATTTTCAGATAACATGTACATTGTACATGTAATCAAAGAATCAGTTCTGTTAATATACATGTATGTGTAAGTAATTGTATATGTCACGAGATTAATTTTACACTTGATTCACATTTTTCAAGTGGCTGTACATTGCACTTTATGTGTTTACTTAGCACCATCTTGATTTCTGTACAGTTCCGCACTTCAGCACACCTCTGTCTTGTCCCTTATACAGAACAACTCACATATTCACACCCAATTACATGTATCTGTAGACATTCCTCATAAGCATACTAGAGTTAGACAAATGTCCTACAATTCACACTCACACTACCACCATGCTTCCAACAATGGTCCCAATCTGTAGTCCTGACCCAAACTCCACATTTGTTCTCTAATTGAGCACTAATGTTCGGCACTTTAAAATGGCTGTGAGAACAGACAGCTGACGTCTTTCTTTTTCTGCAGTTCCCGGTAACTTGTTTTGAACACTTTTTTCACTCGGTCGAATTTATTTTTATCGTGACAAGACCTTGCTGTATTTGACATGTCAAATGGCTCTGGAAAAAAGCAACATCAAGGAGGAATGTTTTAGATCACATAAAATAAAGATACATTTCAATTTGAATTCATTATAAAATTGAACACCTACCTTCAATGCAAAGAGGCTGCATCTGAAAATACTCGTTCTTGAATCGCATGTAGTCATCTAAGTTGTACTTTGTGGCATCCTTTATTGATATACAATCCTCATCAAACCTAGAAAAGAAGAACAAACTCTCATCGTATTCATTCATATCCATAATGATACTTTAAGATAATCACAGAATTGACTTGGGTTGTTTTGTTTATATGTACACATAAATTGGCGTATTCAAAATTTAGCATAATCACTTGGTATGCAGTTGTTGGCGTAATCATGAATTAATGCAAGACATGTCTGTGCAGTGTGTTGTACATGTATTTATAAATGATTTCTTGGCACACAATGTATTCATGAATAGTGCACATCGGTGAATGGTGTTGCCATGGAGCCAAAACCTCTAAAATATGAAGCCTGCTTTCTAAAATAGTCACACAGTATACATGTATTTCTACATAAAATTTGACAGTTTTAGTTTGATTTTAAGTTGGCACACAAGTAGACTTACACAAAGATACATTTATCAAATGTACAAATTTTTAGTTTACTCTGCATGTAGTCATACAGAATATATATTTGACCATTAACAAGATTTTATCGAATGAAATTTTAGTTTACTCTGCATAAATTGTTTGCATATCAACTTTGACCATGCCTATTTACTTACTTGAACTTATTGCTATAGTAACCTAGGAATCCCAGAAAGAGTTCCCCCACACTCTGTCCATTATCACTCTTATAGGACACAGTATCATCAAACTTCAGGTCTCGGATGTCTAAGGAACCATTGAAGCGCGCCTGTTTGGTAAAGCATAATGTACTACTAAACCATTTACAGTGAAAGCACTTATAATATATACTGTGAATGTAAACACAGGAAATTTGACTATTAATAACTACAAAGTACAAAAGTCAGTTTCACTTACTGGATAGAGTTCCTGTAGGGATGGAAGAACTGGTGGTGAACAGGCATCTGTAATTCAATGTTATGATATAAATAATCATGTATAAGGTACATGCATGTTATTCCAGAATTATTTTTTCTTGCAATGAGAGATTGACATCTACATGTATCTACTATGGAGAATCAGTAGCATGGAGTTGATTTGTTCTATATCCTACAGGTATATGTATTTGAAATTTTACATTTTGTGGAGGACATTTATTTGTGAGTCTTTTTATATCATGCATATTAGTGATTTCAAAGAACATTTCCTTTTTTACTTACATTGTAGAATAGTCTGAGAGCACTGAGTTAGAGAGAGTAACTACATTTGAAATTTTACACTTTGATGTCAGGACATTTACTTTTTTATGTACAGGACTAGTTTTTATCAGCTACAATGAAACATATGAATATTAGTGATTTCAAGATCAAAAGTCCATAAAACTTTTATAGGAGCAGTGCAAACAGGGACCTCCAAAACATCAGAGGTAGGATCAGGTGCCATGGAAGAGTGAGCATCCCTTGCCGACTGAAAAATCTGTGTCAATAATGAACTAACAATTAGTATGAAAAACGTCAAGTCAGCATTTAACTCAATGATAAACAGTATTTGCTGACAAGGTCATTGTATCAATCAAGGATCAAAATTAACATCAATTAACATAATTACAAGGACGAAGTACATGTATTTAAAATATATACATGTACATGTATGAAAACTCGCCAGTCTGAAACAAAGTTCAACCGTCAATGTATGATTATATCAATCAATCAAAAGATTAATCATGAAAATATAATCAATATACATGTACCTGTATTAATATATTACTTACTCATGCAGTAATACTTGAGTAAATGAGTATTTCTTATTCCAACACTGTTGTTGACATTCAGATCTATTTGGGCTTTGCTGAAAAAGGAAATATAGTATTAAGCTATCTGAAATAAATCATACTTTCTATGTATTAATTATGAATGCAAACATCAATGAAAATTCAATTACTTTACAAATAAAGTAAAGTTTATAACTTAATAAGTTTAAAAAAGAAGTTTACAAAATAAAAAAAAAATAATTTTTTAAAGATAAAATTAAATTACTGATGCACAATATTACTGGAAATATAACCTAATGAAATCATTATATCATGACTGGAAATATAATTACCTTACGAGATCGTTAAAGCGTAGAATTGGGACTTTAGCTCTGATGACCATAGATTCCCTCACAAAGCCTGAAGTAGATAAAAGTAAGGAACAAATCTAAGTAATGGTGAAAATAATAATTGCCTTTTCTATTTTTCTTTAAAAATAGATGTTACACCTTTATTTGATCTTTCGAATAAAATTTCAAATTACAAATGTATGAATATTTAATAAGCATCTAGTATTTATTAAGTATCTATAATAAATAAAATAATATTCTTCATCCTTTTAAAATCAATTTTGGTTTGCAAAGTGCATGTAAATTGCATCAGCATAATTGTTAGTTTTAAAATCAATGCAGAAATAATGTGATCATTTTCTTTTTAAAAACTAAGATGCATATACGTATATGAGAGGTTATTTTATGGAACATTTGTCACTTACTGCATTTATAAAGAGCTTTCTGGATGAGATAAAGAAGTTCTGGGGCTTCTCTCTTCTGGTCTATCTGTAATTAAACTCTTTCATTTTAATGATGATAAAAAAAGCAGGCACAGGAAGTTTAAAACATAGTGTATCTCTGACTAAAGGGGTGTGGGCAAGCTCTTCACAATTTTCTTTTTACACAATAAATCTATGAAGAATGTGGCGATTTTGAGTGAAAGTTTCCATGCACTTAATAAATCCATTGCAAATTTTTTTGGTAAAAAAAAGAATACCTTGTATTTTTATTATTTTATTATTTCCTTTTGTATGTCAATTTGTTCAATTGAAAAGTTCACCGAAACAGAACATGTACAGTATATAAATGGGAATAAAACTGGCACTGATCTTATTTTAATGAGTTGTCTTTATACTTACCCCATCTTCTGAGATCATAAGGCACATGTCCATATCACTCTTCATTGTCCCAAAGCCACTCATAGAGGATCCAACAATGTACAGTCCACAGTCTACATAAAATAATGAATTCTTACATGTAGAGTAGTACCGGTATAACTACGTGCATGGAGTCTCTTAATCTTCAATATATCACTTGCCACATTTCCTAGCTTTCATTTAAATCAATGTACATCTCCATGTAGCTGCAGAGCTGTAGCTATCTGCTTGAGAAAATTTGGACAGATAAAAGTTAAGCAGAGGGCTACAGATCCAAGTATTGTAAAAACCTTCCATTTATGCCGCCAATTTTTGACTGCTCACTCTGAAATATTATTTCTTGTATTACACTGTATATGCTTTTCTCTGCATAAAAAATGGTATCTGATAATTTACCATATATTTTTTAAAATCTAATTTTTGGGCAAACGTATGTTCTTTAAAAGATATTTTTACCCACAATCTCCAACATGGACTTTGGAATAGAAATTTTGAAAACCGACATTCCAAAAATATAAACGGGCTCTTTGGGACCGTTGAAAAGTAAATTAAGTATTCAAAATAATTTGAAATACATGTTTAATTATTGAATATCATCTTTAAAGCAAAGAATAGCTGAAAATACAAGAAATTATACTCAAAGTGAGCAACAAAAAAGTGGTTGGCATAAATTGATGGTTTTACAACGCTTGGATCCGTAGCTCCCTGCTTTGTCTGTCCAAATTTTCTCAAGCAGAGAGCTACGGTTCTGCAGCTAATCTTGATAAAAACTTACTTGGCATAGAAGCTTGAAATATTTTGAAGAGTACATCTCTAAGTTGAAGTTTCTGTTTGTATGCTTTGTCTGTCTGGTGGTTCTCTAGGAAGTATCGGATGATGGCCTCGGTGATCTGAAATATCACAAGGCAGTCAAAATTTTTGCAAGAAACTTAACATTGCTACACTGACAAATTGTACGAGATATTATACCTAGGATTCATTTTATGTCTACTTATTTTATAAAACAAGTATATGAGAGCAGCAGATGTTTATTCTGAACTTTTTGCAAGAATTACAAATACATGTACTTTATCTGAACTATGAGTTTGAAGCAAGGGATAAAATTAAACAAATTTACAGATTTAAGAATCATCATTTGTCAAGGTTAATTTTTTGTTTACATTGTGTATGGGATTGTATCCCGGTGGAGGGAGGGGAACATCTTTAATCACAGTACAGGATTCAGAGGGGAGGTCAGTCCTGGATTTCTTACTGCTGGAAGAAATTGGAAGGGAATCTGCAGATCTCCTACAAAGTTAGAAAAAAATACAATTATATTAAATAATGGAATACTGATTACTATGTATTGCTATGTAAGAAGTACAATTATGACAGAGATTGAGAAAAATTTAAAAATGGAGTTGCAAAATTCTGCATTGTGACATTTAAAAATGTCTGAAGGATTTAAAAAAAAACACACAAAATTTTGCAAACTTCTATATAGTCTGGTTTCAGGATCACATTTTTTAAACACAGACTAGTACACATTACCATTGGACTCTCAAAGGCAACAGACAAATCAAGATCAGAACCAATCCTACCACTTCAACTGACAGCTGTAAAATCATATCAAATTCTATATTACCGGGTACTCATTTTTAAAATAAAATTTATTGATCCAATATATATATCATATGTACATGATGTAACACCTAAAATATTTATTAATAATCATATTTTATCTACAATGCTTTTTTTGACACTGTATAACACAATAAATCTAAGAGATCCAAATACGAAGAAAATTCTTACAAGATAAATTAGTATCATCAATTCACTGTCTTACTTGCGGTTTTGATGACTAGTGCTGGGATGTCTGTGAAGCTGTGATAGAATGTCTTGTCTGATTGTTTCTCTGTAATCAACAGGAGGATAGCCAACATCCACTTGAAGATTCTGCCAGCCGTTGTTAAAGTCAAGAAAACTCGGATGCCGCAGACGATGCTGGTTAGGAAGAAAGGTGTACTGCTGCTGTACAAGCCGTGAGAAGCGGAATGTTGGATTAAATTGTGGAAAAAATGAATTTGGGTTCCCTGGAGGTCCAGGATAGTGAACTCTCCTATTCATCTCTCAGCGGTATACTGAATCCCCTGAAAGTAATGATAAAACTATAGCCATGCATTTCTATGATGTTATATGAAAAAGTGTTTTAACATTTTTACAATACAAAAATATTTTTTCACACTTTCATTGTGCATATAATAGGACATCTTTTAAATCACAGGCACCTGATAAAAACTCCAGGTGCATGTGGACAAAATCACTAACGTTAGGCCTAAAATGAAAAATGTGTTCAGAAAAAGTCCATGACATGAATGCATTTTTAAAATTATGAGCCGAACATCTCTGTCTAAATATAGGCAATATATTTTGAACGTATTGTTCTCTTACATTCCACAACAAGAGGAAAATTAACCCTTTTAGTCGAGCAGTGATAACTTCTCAAGTCACTGATGAGAAAAACGTGGTAAAATGTTGTGTACTGAGTACACATGCGTCAGAGGATATTGTGTTCTATGTGACGTAGGCAACGAAGAACGAAATGGCGTGAACGGTGTACGAAGAAATTCTACTTTCAGTTGTAAACATTTTCAATTCGACCGTTGCGTCGTAAAATATTTGAAAACACTAGGATTGGGTTAATTTAGTACTAGTGTCAAGGAATCGCTATGTCATTATGAGTGTGGACGCGTATGCCCCAAATTCTCAATCCTTGACTTTCCTCGAAACTGAAGAGGACCTCATTGGGGCCGACACTCAAGGAACTGACTATGACTACACGGATTTCACCCTACCGTCCCAGACTCAGTCTCAGACCCAAGCTTCACAGCTAGAACATGGACAGAGTCAAAGCCAGGTACGTGAATTCTGAAGGAAGATTTTACCAGATGGCAATGGCGTAATGGAGTCGCCATGTGACATGTGGCCACATGCATCTGTGCACATACTGATGCATCTTTAAAATGTTTACTTCATTCTTGTTTTATTTTAAGAGTTGTATTAAATGTCTATGTAATTTACTTTTAGTCATGTAATTTGTTCCAGGAAAAGAGAAGAATTTTATAAAATCTATTTTTAGATTCAAAGTCATTGGATAGTAATTGTGCAACTTTCATCTTCATTAATTTTAAACAGAAATGAAACTAAAGAATAATTATGTTTTTTATGCAGTGAATTATTTGTAACGGTGTACTTTGCAGGTTAATGGTCCAGAGGCTCCAGTTCAGAATGGTCTGGATAAGGGAGTTACATCGATCACCCAGGGGGTGGGGGAGCTCAATTTTGAGGAGGAGGAGGAGGAACAGTTTATGATGAAAGATCTGCCCAAGCATGCATGCTCGTAAGATCTATGAAAAAAAGATCTATGAAAAAAATTTGTTCTAATATGAAGTGTTATATATGAAATATTGAAATAATGAAAACATAGCATATTATGATTATTATCATCATTGCTTTGATTTGAAACCGTAACGATGAAACCAATTTAGGTACATATGTATGATTTACTCTTTCAAGTTGCTTTATCATGTGTTTGTAGCAAAAGGAACTTGCATATATGTTTACATTTTAATATATGAATGAAACCGATTTTTTTTAGATTTCAGTATATACATGTACAGTTCAAATGTTTATCATAATCATTATTTTCTCGTGCAGGTACTGTGGAATTCATGACCCTGCATCTGTGGTGTTCTGTAACAGCACAAAGAAGTGGTTTTGCAATGGAAGAGGGAATACTTCTGGGAGGTTTGGAAATATCATTTAACTTGCTTTGTGTTAGACTTTTAAACATTTTTTTAAAAAAGATACAAAACAACATATATCATTGAAATCTTGGTTGATTGTTTTTGCTGGAGTGAATATATAACCTTTAGATTATATTATGATTTAGACCTTAGTTTATCTTTTGTCTTCTTTGCTGACAGTCACATCATCAATCATCTTGTGAGAGCCAAGGCTAAGGAAGTGACGCTGCACAAAGATGGCCCCCTGGGAGAGACTGTGCTGGAGTGTTATAACTGCGGCTGTCGGAATGTTTTCCTCCTGGGCTTTATTCCTGCCAAGGCAGACTCTGTGGTTGTACTGTTGTGTCGTCAGCCATGTGCCACCCTTACCAACCTGAAGGATATGAACTGGTAAGTAGATTTACATTGAATTTAATGGCACTCCATCATTTTGGTGGATTGTTCAAAAGTTTCATGCAAAAATTAATCTGAACTGTTTTTTCGCCTGTTCTGCAAAGTACCAGAGATGAACAGTGTTGCTTTGATATAATCCTAATTGTTTTATATATCTGTTACTTTCTTAATATGTATTAAAACTTGTGGAATGAAAAAGCATTAAAAAGAGCACATCATCATCTTCAGCTTCTTCTCACTTGCATTGAAATCATACATTTATGAACACATTAAAATAAAAAAAATAAAAACAAGTAAAATTGCTTTCTATTATGTAGGGACCCGAGTCAGTGGCAGCCGTTGATCCAGGACCGTCAGTTTCTGTCGTGGCTGGTCAAGGTTCCATCGGACCAGGAGCAGATGAGGAGCCGGCAGATCTCGGCCCAGCAGATCAACAAGCTGGAGGAACTCTGGAAGGACAACCCCGAGGCCACGCTGGAGGATCTAGAAAAACCAGGGGTGGACGAAGAACCCACTCAGGTGTTACTAAGGTAAGGGCAAAACATAGCTGCAGATATTTGTCCGTCCATCCAGCAACAAGCCTTTAGGATTTGCTGCATGACAGATGGCAACAGGAAGGAGCATTGGATAAAAATAGTACACCGTTCATTTGTCGAAAGATACACAATGTTCTGAATGTTGAGATATAACAATATTTCTTTAGCACAAAATATAAAAAGTATAAAACTGTTTCTCAGAATCAATTTAGTTGCTTTTTTTTCTTATTTTACCTATGACCAAAATTTGAATAGACAATTTGGTCTATCTATTTTAATTCAGATCTGCATAGCCCGTTTCAACTTAAGATAGATTTGGAACATCAGAAAGGCATTAATTTTGCACACTGATAAATTGTAAGAATTTACTGGTTACTTAATGACTGCTCTATTGTCATGTTTATCATGTTTAATAGTTTCAAAATATTTAGAAGCTAAAGGAATAATGTTTTGACCTTGCTTCAAGGTCATATGGAAAGGAAAAGTGTGTTTAAGATTTGTTAATGAACTTAGGTAGTCCAAAAAGATTCTTATAAGAGCAGTATTAAATTCATAGGGGCTGCAAAGGAACATGCATTTTTTAAGCATTGTTAAAATATGTATATAATAGAATGTTATGATGAACTTTTGGTTACACTTCACACAATGATAATATATACTAGTGCATGCTAATAAAAACTTTTGGGAAGTTATAAGTTAGGTTTGTTTTCCTTAAATCTCTATGTACAAACAGGATGGAACTTATACAATCAAGATGAAAAATCATTCCATAATAAATCGATCCTTTCATATATCCTGATATTAAAAATATAACGATTGCTTAGTGCTTTTATATGTAAATGAACTCAAGGATTTATCTGCATGCATGTAAATGTTTTGATTAATCACCTTTTTCACATAAACATGATAGAGGCTTTAGGGAGAAGATTTGGACATCAGTGCAGGATGTTTGAATATACATTGGAAATCTGTAGGCTGACTCCCCTGGAAATTTTCAGATGAAATAACGTTGCTAGAACTTGCAGTTTAAGATCTAATTGGGGTGTCATTTCTATGACTGAATTGATTTTCAAGTGATTGTTTATAAGTATTGAACCCACTTTACACAATAGACTTTAGCTACATGTGTATCTCAAGCCAGGATTTATCAGCGGAAAAAACACCAGTCAATATTTTTCCTTGTAAACATTTTACAAATTACTTGTGCAACATGTACTAATTACTCCAGTATTAAGATCAACTGATTTTTCAGATATGATGATGCATACCAGTACCAGAACATCTTTGGCCCCCTGGTTAAGTTGGAGGCTGACTACGACAAGAAGCTGAAGGAGTCCCAGACCCAGGATAACATCGTAGTACGCTGGGATGTCGGCCTTAACAAGAAGAGGATCGCTTACTTCCACCTGCCAAAGGCCAATGATGGTAAAGAAAAGAGCATGTCTCTGCATAAAAATTTTATGTAAATCAATTCTTTTCGAAAGTAAACCATTGTCCTTTGAGTGTTTTAAAAAAAGTATTGTATAAGGATACTGATGTTTTTAAGTTCCTTTATAAGATAAGTAAATATATAAGAGACTCTCTGCATATGTATTGTTTAATTAAATATCATGACTTAATTTAATTTTAATTACAGAGATGAAATTGATGCATGGTGATGAGCTGAGGCTTCGTTACCAGGGAGAGCTTCACAAACCCTGGTCAGGTGTAGGACATGTCATCAAGATCCCTGACAGTATCCTTACTTAAAACTTTATGATACATCTATTTGTTAAGCTGGATTTTGATAAAAGTTACTTGTGGTATCATTAATGTAACCATACAAGTAAAGATCTGTTTGCATTAGTTTCCTGACCTGTATTAGACCATAGTGATGAAGTTGCCATTGAATTGAAGAGCAATGCAGGAGTACCTACTGAGTGCACTCATAACTTCGTGGTGGACTTTGTTTGGAAGTCAACTTCTTTTGACAGGTATGAAAAAAAAATTTTTGATAAAGAAAACAAGCCAGATGTTTTTCTAGTGACATTTTAGTTACATATTTGCCATTTGATCAATGATTACATCTTTACAGGATGCAGGCAGCATTGAAGACCTTTGCTGTAGACGAGACCTCAGTATGGGGTTATATTTATCACAAGCTCCTGGGACACGAGGTGGAGGATGTTGTAATAAAGTGTCAGCTCCCCAAGAGATTCAGTGTCCCCAACCTGCCAGAACTCAACCACTCCCAGGTGTATGCTGTCAAGACTGTGCTTCAGCGACCACTAAGTTTGATCCAGGTGAAAATTTATATCAGTATTGCAAAGATTTACAAAGATATTATGTCTATCTTTCAAAATCTTAGCAATTATTAGTTGAAGAAGGATCCCTAAATGATCAATTAATAAAAAATCTGCTTGGTTTTGAAAGGGTCCCCCAGGAACTGGTAAGACTGTGACTTCAGCCACCATTGTGTACCACCTGGCCAAACAGAACAATGGACAAGTATTGGTGTGTGCTCCCTCTAACATTGCTGTGGACCAACTGACTGAAAAGATTCACAAAACTGGACTGAAGGTGGGTTTGAGAAAATATTGACGAGTTGTTATTTTTATAAATAAAATTTTAAAAACATACAAAATTTGGAAATGTTTTCAATTTTGAGATACATTCTGCTTTTTCCAGGTGGTGCGTTTGTGTGCCAAGAGCAGAGAGGCCATTGATTCACCTGTGTCCTTCTTGGCCCTCCACAACCAGATCAGAAACATGGAAAGGTAGGCCGTGTGTGATTGTTAACGCGTCAAGTTCAAGAGTACTAATATTGTGTAGTACTGGCTTTTATTGATGTATTTCTGTTTCAGTGTCCCTGAGTTACAAAAGCTGCAGCAGTTAAAGGATGAGACAGGAGAGTTGTCCTCCACTGACGAGAAAAGATACAGGTCACTGAAGAAGCAGTGTGAAAAGGAACTGTTACAGGTACTGATGTACAGAGGTTTAGCTGGCTAATATTACATCACTGTGTTTAGATAGAAACATGCAACTTTTAAGATGCCAATTATCAATTCCTAGATATACAAATTTATGAAGTTGTCTGATGAAGTACCTGTATAAGTGTGCTCTGTATTTCAGCATGCTGATGTGATTTGTTGTACCTGTGTGGGAACAGGAGACCCCAGACTAGGAAAAATGCAGTTTAGATCAGTGCTGATTGATGAAAGTACACAAGCCACAGAACCGGAGTGTATGATTCCTGTAGTGCTAGGATGTAGACAGGTAAGATACTTACAGAACAAAACAAAGGTACTCTAAATACACTGTACAGGTTCATGTTGAGAGCCCAGGCATTGATAAAAAAACTTCTTTCAAAATTGAAGAGACAATGTTGTGTATGTTAATTATACATGTATTCTATTAACAAATGTTTCCCAATGTAGTTGATCCTGGTGGGTGACCATTGCCAGCTGGGACCAGTGGTCATGTGTAAGAAGGCTGCCCGGGCTGGGCTGTCCCAGTCCCTGTTTGAGCGATTAGTGGTACTGGGCATCAGACCCATTCGTCTACAGGTCCAGTACAGAATGCATCCCGCTCTCAGTGCTTTCCCATCCAACATCTTCTACGAAGGATCTCTACAAAATGGAGTGGCTCCAGGTAAAACTGGAAATTAAGATAATGATTTCTCAATTTTGATGTTTGAAAAATAACTATAAACATGGTTTAAGATCTTCCAGCAAAATTGGGCCCTTGGAAGTTCTCGTTTGACATGTTTGAACCATACACATTTACAGTGTTTTGGAGCATGTTGAATTTAATGTCTACATGTACATGTATGTATTTCTGCAGGTGATCGCACAAGGAAAGGACTTGACATCCCTTGGCCGCAAGGAGACAAACCTATGTTCTTCTACACAACATCTGGACAAGAGGAAATTTCAAGTTCTGGAACTTCTTATTTGAACAGGTAAACATATTTCCTGCTACAAGTCTAATTTTGTGGACTGCAAATTACACTCATCTACTGATAAGAACATGAGTATTTTGTCAGTTTTTTCTCTGAATTTCATACGCCTGATATTCTTTTTAGAACTGAGGCTGCAAACGTAGAGAAGATTGGTACAAGGTTTTTGAGGTCCAATGTGAAGCCAGAGCAGATAGGTATCATCACTCCGTACGAGGGACAGAGGGCTTACATTGTACAATACATGCAGTACAGCGGATCTCTGAACAAGAAATTATATCAGGTAAAGAAGAAGTGTAGATAATCTGTAGAATTACTAGTGCACAGTTCAGATATTTCCTCAAAAAGTGGGTTAAAGAAAAAAGTTGAATGTTTTACTAAAAATGATAATTTTATATTACAGGAGATAGAGGTTGCTAGTGTAGATGCTTTCCAAGGAAGAGAGAAGGATTTCATCATTCTGTCTTGTGTGCGCTCCAATGAACATCAAGGAATTGGTTTCCTTAATGATCCGAGACGTCTGAATGTGGCCCTTACTCGGGCAAGGTATGATTGATTGTTTATTGTTGAATACCAAGTTGGGAATATTTCACCCATATTTTTACATGAGCAAAATATGAGCTAAGAAGAAATTAGTAGAAAAAGCTATTTACATGTTATAAATTCTGAAATGCATTATGTATGAACCAGCTTTATGTTTCTTTAACAGGTATGGTATTATAATTGTTGGAAATCCAAAGGTTTTGTCAAAGGTAAGGAAATTATACATGATAACCTGTATAGATTATGCACATTGAAAAATATCCAACATCTTGACAAAATTGTGTTTTGTGATTTCTAATTGCCTCTGTTTTGGTTTCAGCAACCCCTTTGGAATCACCTGCTAACTTACTACAAGGAGCAGAAGTGCTTGGTGGAGGGGCCCCTCAATAATCTGAAGGAGAGCATGATTCAGTTCAGCAAGCCCCGCAAACTGGTCAACACCTCCAACCCAGTAAGTGGTCTCTCTATTGTCTGAGAGTTCAATATCATGTTTTATCTCTGTCAATACGTACATCTATGAAAAATTATAGGATGTGGGTAATTTTTACTTTTCAAGCTGTGTTAATACAATTACAATGTATGTGTACTTGTAAATTTCAGTTATTCATGCTTTATTTATACTAATGATTTCTAACTTCTATTTCTTCTGTGTTTAGGGAGGCCGATTTATGAGCAATATCATGTTTGATGCCCGGGAAGTGATGATTCCAGGCAGTGTGTACGATAGAAGTAAGATTCTTTGTTGCATAATTTAGATAATATCAGATAACATGCCCTATGCATTTGCCACCAAATGGATTACATCTGAGTACTAACATTTATACCAAACCTTTTTGTACCCCTGCAGGTCGAGGTTACAATGAGCCTGTGGTTCGCACTCATGATCAGCTGAGTTACATTGGTCCAGAAAGACATTACACTGGCCCCGCTCTCAACATCCCTGTCCCTGTCAATATGTTTATGGCACCCATGCCACAGCCCTTCAACGGCCAACAAGTACCAATGGGTATGTTGAAACATTGTACAGTATTTTAGAGTTTATTAACAGATTTTGTGTAAAACTTCATCACATCTTGAACATACATGTAATTTGTTGTATCAAGTAATAGAAACACTCCTGCAGCCAGAGGAAATTTTGTTAATTGAAGGTTTGTTTTAAAGTTAACTTATTAAAAACTTAGTTAAATTTTGAACATCATTTGTTGAATCAGGTAACAGAAATGCCCCGGCAGCAAGAGGAACTGGGCGTCGTCGTGGCACCAAGCCACCTCGCTATAGTAACACTCAGTCCCAGCTGAGTAACTCCCAGTTCAGCCAGGGCAACAGTCAGAGCCAGGCAAGTCAGGTTAGAAGATGGTCATATAAACAGGCCAGAATTAAAAAATTATAAATGTACATGTTTATTGGGTAATAATTTAATTTCATTTGTAACAAGTCATTTGATTGGTTAAACGGTTTTATCCATTTTGTATAAAATAACTTGCCTACGTCACAATGAGTTACGCCAAAAACGTATTACTCCACTGGATGTAACTTTTAAAATATGCTATATTTGAAGCCCTTTTCCGAAAGAAAAAAATGGAAAAATTGTATCATTGTCTACATTGAAATTAAATTATAAGGAATGAAGCTTATTTCAACTTATGTTATACGATATAACATAACTTGGGGCAGTTTACGCTTTATAAACTGCAAAGCGGTTTATAAAAAAGCGTTAACTGCCCCAAGTTATGTTATATCGTATAACATAAGTTGAAATAAGCTTCATTCCTTAATTCTGAAGCTGAACAAAATACAAGAATAGTATTTGATAACCAAATATATGTACATGTATGATTAGACTGGAACACAAGATAACAAAAATATCTAAAATGAGCATTTTCAATATTTTGAAGGATTGATTTGTTTCAAGTCATTAATGAAATATTGTCTTTCAGGATGTGTCCCAGCCCTTCTCCCAGGGACCTCTGACCCAGGGCCCCATGTCTATGAGCCAACCTTTCCAGATGAGTCAGCCAGGATTGTCTGGACTCTCCCAGCCAGAACTCTCTCAGGTTTATACTCAAACAATTTCCATCAAAAATGAACTTGCCATATTGTTTTCTTTTGAGTTTTGAGTCTTTGGACTTTTACAATTGCAAGGTTTAGTCAGTTTGTTTTTTCCAAGATAAGCAAATGGGATACTCTAAATGTACACTTATTTCATGACTACAAGGGGAGCAGTCACACTGTTTTCGTGAGGTAATGGAAAAGACCTAGGAAACTGCTGTCCAAGGTTGACTTAGGAAACAGTTGAACTGTTTCCCAAGTTGTCATGAAGAAGTGTGTTATATTTAAGATATTTCATGATAATTTTGACCATGTAATGTTGATTAGCTATATTGTAATTGTGTTTTTTTTATTACAGGACAGTTTCTTGGCGGATGACTTCAAATCTCAAGCAGACGGCATGCTGTCCCAGGACTCCACCTACCAGGGCGACCGCATGTTTTATGCATCTCAGCTGTCACAGGGTCCATTTAATTAGGACACCAGCATAGCCATCCTCTTTTATGGCGGAGTTTGTTCTTAACTGAAAATAACAATGATGCAAATTGTATTGAGAACTTGAAACTGACATGTAGCAGTGTCTAAGAATATGACGAACTGCCTGCCTTACTGCAATAGAGTCTACCCGCACTGAGTCACCATAAACTGGCACCCCGCAATCTCCGTCGGGGGGCTGGACACTCGTTCACAGCGATTGCTCCAACCACCGACGGTCCAAAATAACGGTGTGCTCACTGAAGTCTGAAGCAGATCAGACAAAGCTCAGATAGGTTTACACTCAAACAAGGGTGACCTAGCAGTATGGGGCTAGGCCAGGTCTACCATCTCTTACAAAGACACTGCCGGCTAGATTGTGTGTACAATGATGATGATGTGTTAGAGTTGGCATGTACCTATTATCTATAGAATTGAGATGATTCTGTTACTATCAGTAGTCTGCGTGATACAGTCATGTCGCCACACTAAGACAGCCATCTCGTCAACCAAAAATTGATTGTCACTTTATATCTGATTATTGTAATTGCCATCATTTGTTGCCATTTGTATCTTTATTCAGTTTCTGTGCTTTGTTTTCTTTTTTTAACCATCGACTAGTAACTCGGGTTCTAATTTTTGACTTGGATGGAGTGAATTAGATTAACGATACCTGCGGTGATTCATGAATGTCAGCACTATTAAATTACACGTTCTGTGATTTATTATCAAAGGGATAATATTTTTTGGAAATATAAAATCGGCCATTTCACAAGAGAAAATGATGGACAAGAAATTTTTTATTCTTGGTATATCTGCAAAAATCGGCTATGATCGCTGTTCTAAAACCCTGCATCCCTTTTGTTTTTACATGAAATTCTTTCATCTGTAATCAATTACATGTGTAGGTGCTTTACATGTATAGCTTAAATGTGTGTATTAATTATTGAAGACCTGTGTCACTCTGTCTACAAATAAGGGAATTAGGGACTGGGCAGTTTAATTAAATCAGCTTGTGGTAATTGGAATGCAAACAGCTTGGAGGGGTTATTTTTCATACTACATGTATCCAAATTGGACTATTTGGCACTTTCTTGATCGGTGTAATGATGTTCTCTTCAGGGTTTGCTCTAAAATCTTTTTTTTATTATAAATTATTCCTTATTTAGTTTCTGTGTGTAATAAAACATTATTCTGCAATTTTTTTTATGTTTTAATTTATTGTATACATTTAAGATAATATTTATTATAAACACTGCTTGAGAAACGTAAACAAACAAACAAATTCAAAGAAATGTGGTCCCCCGCTTTCAGTGTCTTTGTGGATGATTTGTCATTATGTTCCCCAAACGGAGTTTGGGAACATATTGTTTTTACTCTGTTTCTTATTATTATTCTTTTTTCTTCTAATTTCTTCTCCGGACTTTTTTTGTCCGCGAGTGTTCTCAGAAACTGTTCACCCAACTGAGCTAAAACCTTTTTAGGGTTAATAGGTGTGTAGTGTAGGTGTGCGGAACGAAGGTCATTTTGCCCGCATACGCATGCACGTGCGTGCGCGTGAAGTGAGTGAAATGACTGATATACTTGATAAAGTTATAACTTTTACATTTTTTGATGAAATGATTTGAAACTCATTATATAAAGATATATTAATAGTGTAGATAATGTGACACTGTCAAATTTGCACGAATTCACGCGCATGTACGTGCGCTTCGCTCTGATTGGCTGAAACAAAAATCTCAATATCTTTTCTGTTTTATGAGGAAATGCTTTGAAATTTAAAACAAAGGCATACTTTAGGATGCCCTATAAAACGATAATTAAAAATTGTCATGAAAGCACGCGCATGCACGTGCGCTGCAATCTGATTGGCTTAAACTATAAATGGCTATAACTTCCTTGTTTTTCAACCAAACAGCATGGGATTTAGATCATAGACAGACATAATGGACTCCTAGAAGAGGATATTGTCATTATGAACATGCTTGCACGTGCATGAACGCGCGCTTCGCTCTGATTGGCTGAAACAAAATTCTCAATATCTTTTTTGTTTTTTGACGAAATGCTTTGAAATTTAAAACATAGGCATGAATTAGGATATCCTACAAGATGATATCGAAAAATTCATGAAATCACGCGCATGCACGTGTGCTGCAATCTGATTGGCTGAAACTTTAAATGACTATATCTCATTTGTTTTTTGAGGAAATGCTTTGAAATTCGAAACATAGTCAAACATTAGGATATCCTGCAATATGATATACAAAAAATTTAAAGAAATCACGCGCATGCACGTGTGCTGCAATCTGATTGGCTGAAACTTTAAATGGTTATATCTCCTTTATTTTTTGACGAAATGTTTTGAAATTTTAAACTTAGTCATTCATTAGAATATCCAACAATACAATATAGAAAAGAAATTATGAAATCACGCGATTGCACGTGTGCTGCAATCTGATTGGCTGAAACTTGAAATGGCTATAACTCTCTTGTTTTTAGACCAAAGAGGATGGGATTTATAACAGAGATAAATACAATGGACTCCTACAAGAAGGTAGGGCCATTGTGCACATGCAGGCACGTGCGTGCATTTGGAACGATTGAAATAAAAAATACACTTGAATGAGTGAATTTTAATTCTTTTGGACTGAATGCTTTAATATATAGTTAATTAAAATATATAATAGATAGCGTAGACAAGACGACATGGTCATAAGCACATGCATTCACATGCGCACGGGTGCAATGCTAAAATTTGAATATAATTGGTATCCTACCGGAAAAACGTTGTTAAAGTCAAAAATGCACAGAATTTGTCTTATTTAAAGAAGCTTACAGGGAATATGGCACGAAAAGGAAGTTGGGGAGCGTTTGGGGAACATCTGTAACGGTTCCCGTTACAATTAGCACTAGTTTTTGTTATGACATGTCAAATATGAACTTTCTATCATATGTCATTTAGAAATTATCACCGAAGTTGAACTCTTTTTTATTAGGTCAATCATGAAGGTCAAGGTCAAGTGGTCAGAAGTCATATTATTTTACCTCATAAATATTCTAAACAATGAGTTATCTGATTGGTTCTAAGTTATCATGTGATCGGGACTTAAAACTTCATATTTCCCGGCCATCGGCACGCTTTTCATCATATTCCACCTCTTCAGAACACCTAGTGTATTTTCCCACAATATAGTTCTCGCTCATTGAACGAAAACTTCCGAGAGAAGTAGACGTCACAATAGCCTGGTTTACGTCACAAAACTGATGACAATGTGTTGAACGAAGGGTTTTATAGTAACTTTACGTAAAAAATGAAAGTGACTTTGAGAGCGGTGCCGAATTTGAAAGTTTATGTTTATTTCAAAGGTTTTGCTTGTTTCGGTATAATAAACAATTTATTGCATGAATGTTCGGGAAACATGAAGACTTATTCAGCCAAGAAATATCATATTCCCCTCGGGCGAAGCCCTCGGGGAATATGATTTTTCTTGGCTGAATAAGTCTTCATATTTCTCTTACTATCGTGCAATAAATGTATAGTATGCTCTGAAATATCTTGTCACAGGTAATGTCCATATCAAATATGACAGCCATATCTCTTCTCATATAGAGATAACAAGATGTGTTTGTGAAACACCAATGACCCTGTATGGCAACATAGCAAATAAATAACTTTTCATATATGCAAATTAAATATATTACAAGCAAATTCAAAGAATTGTGGTCCCCCCTTTCGGTGTCTTTGTGGGTGAGATCATTTTTTATGACATTTTGTGTCAAATATGAATGTCCTATCATATGTCAATTAGAAATTATAACCAAAGTTGAATTTTTTTTTAAAATAAGGTCAATCGTGAAGTCAAGGCCAAGGAGTCAGAAATCATAGCATTTTCGGAAATATGAGAATAGATAGGGCTTTAATATTTGACATGTGCATTACCTGTGACAAGATTAAAAGTTAAAAGGAACAAGATGTGTTTGTGAATCACGGATGACACTGTATGGCAACATAACGAAGATTAAACGAAGATTAAACTTTTCTTAAATGCAAATTAAATATATTGGTACCCAAAGTAGGAAATATGATTGTGAAATATGAAAGCCTTAACACCACCTGTTCAGAAGTTATTGCCAAGGATAAATTTTTGAAGGTAGGTCAAACTCCAAGGTCAAAGGATCAAAGTTGTTATTTCTTAAGAAAGGTCTTGTCACAAGTACAACATACCCGGTATGTGAAGTATGAAAGCCCTAGTCCTTGCCGTTCAAAAGTTATAGCCAAGGTTAAAGTTTTTAAAAAAGTAGGTCAAACGTCAAGGTCAGAGGGTCAAAGTTCTTGGTATCCAATGAAAGTTCTACTCACAAGGATTACATATGTGAAGCATGAAAGCCCTAGTCCTAACCGTTCAAAAGTTATGGCCAAGGTTAAAGTTTTTAAAAAAGTAGGTCAAACTCCAAGGTCAGTGTCAGAGGGTCTTGATTTTCAATTGACGGAAGCTTCTAAAACATCATGAAATTATTATACAAGGATTATACAAGTAGACAAATGGCAATAATGAAGTGACAAGTTATAGACAAGTGTTACTAATCTAATTATAGGAAAAACTTTATCTTTTCAACTGGCAAAATATTTGAATTACCCAGTTGACGGGAAAAGATAAGTGGCTAGAAACCAAGTGGCATATGTATAGGATTATAGAGTTACTAAACTGCGTCTGTTTAGCCGGGTGGTTAGAAATACTCTTTTGCCCTTGATATTGCTAAGTGGCAGGTATTAGCAAGAGGCTTTGGAGAAGCTAAGGGTCGACGTATATTGCCAAGTGGAGGTGGCATTTCTTTAGCCAACTGACATTGTTATAGCCAAGTGGCAGGAATTTCTTTGTAAACTATTTAAATTAGACAGTAGACAAGTGTCTACTGCGGGTCCCGCACGTTACCATGTGTAGTACATGTATGTTTTTCTTACGAGTTTATCAGTATTTTTTTTTCCTTACTGAGAGATCGTGGCAACGAACCCGACGCACAGTTTGTACCTTGTAATAACTTGTTTGCAAAGAAAACTTACGAATAAGGACAAGGTATTGTTCTAATACAATTTAAGCTGTAAAGTTTTGTGCTTTAATGAAGACATTTCAGGGTTTTTTTTCTTAAAAAAAGTCTTTTGTACTTTTGTATCAATTACTCGGCCTATTCACGGTGGGGGGGGGGGGGGGGGGTTAATTTTTACACGGGTACTTGGGTTTTGTTTTATGAATATGTACATGAATAAATCAATCCAATGCAAGAAAGTTCTCATCACTAGTGCAAAGAGTCTCTTGGTAATGAATCAGGTCTCATTTTTAAACCATATTGAGTTTATTTATTGTTTTGAAGTGTGATTTAAAAACTTTGAACTTTAAGTACCCCCACAGATAAAATTTATGGGGGTTAAGTCAAGTGAGTGTGGGGGCCTAATTTAATGGAATTGAAAGATTTGACTGATCCTCCAAACATTTGTTCTAACAAGTCCAAGGTTTAAGATTCAAAACATACTTTGACAGCATCCGATAAATACATGTACATGTACTTGGCTTGCTCAATTTTGAGTCGTATTTGTTCACAAGCTCAGTTATTTTACAAAATAATTTCATGTGAGTCTCTTAAACAATGTCTCTTTAGTAATATTCTAAATGTTTTCATGTGTTCTTTCTTCTGATTTTTCCTTTTCTTTGATCACGCATTAACTTTTCCATTAGCTGCAAAATTTTACAGATTTATACAATTTTGACTATATATTACTAAGCATGTTCTTTGCATTCTGTAAACATTATTTTTATTATTCTAACCA